GAAATTGGTTAATCACTCTAGAATGAGATGGTTTACATAAAATCCTAACAACCTGAAAATATATCACTGAATGAAGACAGTTTCTTGTAGCCTAAAGATTCTGAAATTTAAGGTTAGTTTAACTGTTTGCTTGTTTGTTTTTGAAAACTTTCTGAACTCTCACCTAATTCTCTAAACAACATTCACAGTTGCCCTAGTGATTGCCCCCAGTTTTTCATGGTAAAACCAAAGCATATAAGGCCAAAGAACTCAGTCAAATCACATATTGCTAAGAAAAGGAGTCAGAATTTGAACCCAGAACACATGCTCTTTGCCAGTTCATGAGATCACTTTTTGACAGTCCTTTCATTTTAGGTAATTTTATTCACTGACAAGCTGGAAGAGAAGAAAGCAAGTATAAAAAGGAAGTTTAATTTAGGTGCTTAATAATGGTGCCAGTTGAATAAGTTTTCTCAGCACCACATGAGTTAACATAAACTCATCAATGTTGGAGTCTTCATTATACAATTTCTTCAGTGTCAAAGATGTCAATGACCAGCCTTGATATATGCTTGTAAAGAATTCTGAGATGATTCTTGCATAACCTCGTAGGAGCTTATCTTTCAGATTAGACAAGAAAAGAAATACAGAAGATGAATTGCATAAAAATACAAACAAAAACATCTTTTCATCTCTCAGGGTAGGGTGGTTTAATTCTTTTCACATACTGTGTTTCATTTAAGTGCTCTTAAATCACATACTTCGTAAATTCAAACATCCCCGTAGGTTAGAATACAAAATGTTTATGAAAATATTCCCTCTAAATTAAATTAAAAATTAAATTAAATTAAACAAAACATATCAGGTAAAACAAAAGCTTTGTTTATTTGTTTAAAGATAAAAATAATATACATTGACTCTGGAAAATCTTTTAAAAACACAAGCAAATATAAGATAAAAATGATCTGTAATTCACTATGAAGAGGTAAGCACTGCTAACACCTTCTGTTTCTCTCTCTCGATAGATAGATAGATAGATAGATAGATAGATAGACAGATAGATGATAGATAGATAATGTACATGCAACAAGATATTGTGAACATATGTTCATGTTTAAAAAAATTCCCTAATACTATTTTGTGGAAGAAAAATATTGATAGCATCTTATTCCCCAATAATGAATGTATTGACAAATATTTGTAATAACATGAACCTTAATGAGCATCTTCATTTTTAGAATAAATTCTTAAATATATAATTATTAGTTCAAACAGTATGTTTATTTCAGAGTTTTTATGTATATTTCCAAGTCACACTCCAGAAAGTTCATACCACAAGAATAAGACAGTAACTTTCTTTGATCATTCATCAAAACTGGGTATTGCTGAAAAATATACCCAATTATATTTGAAAGGCAAAAAAAAAAAAATGTTATCTCAACTCTTTAATATCCATTTATTTGATTTCTAGTTACCTTAATATGTTTTTTCCATTTCATTGGCGTTTTATATCTTCTTTTGTGATGTTCTTTTGTCTGTTTTTCAGTTGTAGAGTCATTGGTTTATTGTTGATTCATAAGAGATCTTTACATATTAAGGATATCAGATTTTTCTTTTGTATTATTTTTTACAAGGTTTTATTTATTTTTCCATCTTAGAGTGTCTTGAGCCAAAAATATTTTAATTTTTATTTAAAAATATGTATTAAGAAAACAAATCAAGTCTTCCTTTCATGTGCTCTGTATTTTGTGCTGTGCATAAAATGTCCTCTCCAACCCAGCTACATGCAGATAATTCCCTATGAATTTTCTGATTATTTTTTCACATTTCATTTTTTAACATATAAAAAATTTATTTTGGCATTTGAAGTAAAATAGAGACCTAACTTTAATTTCTTAAATGATTAACAACTTCCCCAAAACCACTTATTAAGTAATGCATCCTACTAATCACATGTACTATATGTTAAATTTGCCTATATTTAGTCTCTTTTAGACTTTCACATATCTGCAAATATATCAAAGTACATTTATTTCTATATATACTTCTTATTTTATACCACTGTTCTTTCTGCTCTTCTGGCAATCACCACCATTTGAATGAATTATTTTGCTTTAAAATACCTTCTGATCTGTTAAAACAAAACTGACTCATTATATTACTCTTATTTTTCCTTTTGCTTTAGCCATTTAAAATGCATTTTTCTTTTTTCTTTTTTCTTTAAGTTTTTATTCAAATTCCAGTTAGTTACATACAGTGTTAACAAATGTATACTTTAGTGATTCAACACTTACTGAAGACACTTGGGGCTCATAACAAGCATACTCCTTAGTCCCCATCACCTTAACCCATCCCACCCCCACTTCCTCTTTGGTAACCATTAGTTTGTTCTCTATAGTTAAGAGTTTGTTTTCTGTTTGCTTCTCTATTTTATCCCCTATGATTATTTATTTTGTTTTTTAAATTCCACATATGAGTGAAATCATATGGTATTTGTCGTAGTCTGACTGACTTATCTCACTTAACATAATACTCTCTAGCTCTATCCATATCATTGCAAAATGGCGAGATTTTATTCTTTTGATGACTGAATAATATTCCATTGCATATATACCACACCTTCTTTTTTTTAGTATTTATTTGTTTATTTTGTGAGAGAGAGAAAGAGAGAGAGTGCAAACAGGGCAGGGACAGAGAGAGGTGAAGAGGCCAAATCCCAAGCAGTTTCCACGCTGTCAGCACAGAGTGCACAGCAGGGCTTGATCTCACAAGCCATGAGATCATGACCTGAGCTGAAATCAAGAGTCAGATGTGAATCTGACTGAGCCACCCAGGTGCCCCATATACCACACTTTCTTTATCCATTCATCAGTTGATGGACATTGGGCTCTTTCTATAATTTAGCTATGTAGATAATGCTGCTATAAAAATCAGGGTGCATGTATCCCCTTCAAATTCATAGTTTTGTACCCTTTGAGTAAATACCTTGGTGCAATTGCTGGATGGTAGGGTAGTTCTATTTTTAACTTTTCAAGGAAGCTCCATACTATTAAAAATGAGTTTTATTAGTTTATGTTTTAGTTTTAGTATTTTTTTTTTTAATCTACAGGGCCTGTCTTTTCAATAGACATAATATCCTATTATCAAATACTCTTAAAATAGGTATCTAGTCTTTTTCATGGAAATGCCTAGCAATTAAGGCTGAGAAATCAAAGTGTTCTTGAACCCCTGTAGCAATGACTATGGTCAACATCAGTAGTGACCCTGTGTGCTGAAAACTCCACAGTCAGAGCAGAGCAAGGAACAGGAAGTGAGGCAATGTAAGTGCTCGCCTGTGAATTCATGGCCACACCTCAATTTATTTCTGGTAAGTGCATGTGACAACTATTCACATACATTACTATCTTTATACTCTCCAGGATATGCCAAATAAAGTAACAAGTCCAAAGACGGTCTGTTTTAGAAAATTAATTAGAAGAGAGGATAAAACTCAGTCTTGCTTATGCACAAAATATAAACTTGGAGGCTCTTCTGAGACTTGGTATAATTTAAGAAGAAACAAGCTAGAGTTTGGGATATTTTGATCAGTTGACTTATCCCAACCACTTTTGTAATGAGTCTTCCTCAGTGAGGTGCAGCAGTGAAATGCGTGTCTTCCTTATAACCATGTAAAAAGATAGTTTTACAATAGTTTTCGTGGTGAAACAGATGGCTCTATACTGATTACTGACACTCTTTTGTCCGTGAAGCTTCATACCTAGAGGTTTTTACAAGAATCATTGGCTGAGATTAGATGTGTAGACAGTGGCTAAGGACAAGTGTAGAGTTATTGGGCACACATTATAGCCAGGGCTGTGGCTATGCTATCACTATGTCTTAATCAAATGCTACTAACATCCAAAAGACCTTCAAATATACAGAGAGTCTTTCCTGTCAGCTTTCTGGTCTGAGGAGTCTGTCTCTCCTGACCTCACTGACTTCTTGGGAGACCATTCTACCCCAGCACCATTTCTATCATATTTCTTGGAAAAGAATGCCCATGGGGGATGTTAGAGGTTTCCCCCACTCTCTGAAAATGGAGAATTCCTATGAAATCTTTCCTAAGTGGAAATGTCATAAAGAAGCAATTATTAATTTATATGGAGAATTTTTGAGCATTCTCAACACTCCTCCCCCCCCCCCACCCCCATAAACTTTCTTAGGCTTTTCTCATACCTTAGGACACATTATGCTAATGGACGCACAAACTAAATGGAGATAAAGCACAGATGCTCACAGGACATAGTTCAATGCTGCGGTGGCTTGATGCTGAGATGCTGAGTGTCGTTCCAGGGAAGGAGCTTGGCGGGGCCACACCTGCTGCTCGGGGTTGCGTGCTGACTCTAGAACAGCTCACTGCAACACGGACACTGAACACTGCTTGCCAAAGGCAGGGATGCCTGTATAACTATTTTTTCCTTACTCTGCATCAAATTCCACAAATAAAAAACAGGAAAGAGCAGTGAACAGTCCCCTGCCATTGTTTAATTCTATTAGAAATGTCCTGAGAAGCCTCCCTGGATGTCCCTAAGAAGTCTTTCTGCTAACTCAAGAGCAGAGCGTGACCTATTTAATAAATTTTCACACTTATCTCCAGAAGGTGATCTTTGCTAATCTGGCTTTCAAGTTGGAAGGAAAGAAGAAAAGTTGATTCCTTATGGATTTTGATCTAAACTTGAACCCCCTAGGCGGTTGACGTCTCTTTATCCAAAGTGAATCTCTGTTTAATAAGGCCCCTCTTATAACCACTCCAAAACACACTTTCACAACAAAAGTTAGAACGCCGTATGGTCCATCCTCAAGAAAGATCTGTTTCTGTTCAGAACCCGCCCTGACCTTTTTGTTGAAGAAGAACAAAATAATGTAGTAACAAAAACACAAGTGGCTGCCAAAGGAAGAGGAAAAAAAGTTCCTGTAAGGGACTGGAACAATAAATCTCCTCTCTGCTGAACTCCCAAAGGGAGTGTGTGTATTTCCTCCCGTTCTTTATCAGAGCCCCCGAAATAAGTGGGAATGGGCAGTAGCTGTTCACATTCAGCACACTTTTTCCATTTGCTAATAGGGCTCTGCCAGGCTGGGAGTCAGTTGTCTCTGCCTGACTCTGGAGAGAAGAGCTGCTGAGACGATCCCTGGGCACCATGAGACTCCTGCAAGTGATCATCCTTTGTCTTCCTCTGTCCACTCTTTGTAGCAGTAATGATGACACAGGTATTCTTTTCTCTTATTCTTCTGATGGTGTGGATCAGAAATCACTAGGAGGGGACTTTTAGCCTCAGTTTACCTTCAGGCACCTTCCCCTGAAATGTGGATGCGGCATTTCATTTGCTGTGTCCAGTGCGTGGATGTTGACCAGGAGTGCATGGAGAAGGCTCCACGGAGAGAATGTTTGTTTCCGCTGAAAGGAAATGCTTGCTGGTGCAGCAGCCTTGCAGTGTGTTGGATGGTATCATAAAGGTACGGGGAATACACAATAGCATTGTTTGAAAATAAAAATCAGGGAATGAAATGCTGGTTAAAAAGGTACTAGTTCTCACAAATGTGCTCCTTTCAGGTGTAAGTCTAGAAACAACAATTGTCAAGTATGGGTGAAAGGCTGTAATCAGAAATGCTGCATCACAGAAGCTGGCCTATATTTGTTCCATTGTCTTTTTGGCTCTGATAAACTGAGAGGTTGGATAAAGCTGCCTAGGAAAATGAATATTAGTATCTTGAGAGAGTAGGAAGTAAAGAGGAGAGTCATTTGATTAAAGTTAATAACATTTATTTGCTCCGGAAATATACACACGCAACACTTTGCACATCATTTCAAAAATCCTACCCCTTGACTGCAGTTTCAGAAACTCAAACAAAGGATATATATGAACCAATATAAATCCTGACTATATCAAAGACCAGTTGCAAGATATTATTACATTTATCTTATAATCCTTTCTGAGGGATTCACTGTAAGCAATTAAATTTAATAAATATTTACTACGATCTTATCATGTACTCATCAGTGCAAGAAATCCATAAATGATTAAGACATTGTCCTTACCAACAGTGGTAAATGTAGTGTTGGGAAAAACAAATCTGTAATTCCAATACACGACAGATTTAATAAGCATGAAAACCAAAGCACAAACTATCAGTTTGGGAAATACTGATTCTGAGGAGCCTTAGAAAAATATCAGTTCTAATTTTGTTCCGTATGTGCTCTTTTCAAAAGTTTGTTACCTAAAAAAATTCTAATATAGAGTATTAATATAGGAAAATTATGTATGCTCTTTCAGTAATGTTTATAATTAATTTCTTAAAATATATATATAAATTAGGACCCATTCCCAAGCAGTTCAAAATCACATATGATTGCTTACCATGCGTCTTGATATTTTCAGAGTTAAGTTGAAGCAGGTATCAAGGCCAGAAAAATCTACCTTAGAAGAGTTACCAAGAAACTGAGTTTTTAAAATAAAGAGTATTTATGAGAGGCCACAGAAATAAGTATATGAGCTTTTAAGTAACTCTTCAGTACACATGGGAAAGATCGGTAGGAATCCTGATGCCATGAAAAACGGGCTTACAAACACATGTCAGGTCAATATAAATTTGAGAGTCTGGCTTAGGCTGCTTACCACCCCGAGTCTGTAAATATCGAGTACACTACTTTCCTGGAATTGTTAACCTGTGAATGGATTATATGTCTTTCTGAAAGCAAAATGGAATTGTATCAATAGAATCAGCCTGCAAAAACCTAGCCATAACAAAGATGGAAAGGTAAAGGACAACCCAGAGACGACCTGGAAGATATTCCTTTTATGATCATTTTGGGAAAATACAAACTTCTTTTCACTCACCACTAATGAGCCTAACCTGTGTCTTCTTTCTAACTAACTATTAATCCAAGTATGGCAACTTCTTATTTAAGCAGGGATAATGATTACATAATGACTACCTCCTTCAACCTCTGTCAACAAGCCTATTTGTTAAGGAACATGTCTGTAAAAACTACTCTGTTTGTTTTAGAAAAGGAAACTTTAGCTCAAGAGCATAAATTGACCATCCAGGTAATACCCAGGAGGAACTGAAAGAGATTTTCCATTCAGGTGTATGACTTTGTTGCACCTGGCTCTGACTGTTCTGTTTCCCTCCCTGGGTATGGCGCAGGAAATGAAGCATTTCCTAAGCTAATGTATTAAGTTCTTTCCCTAACCCCCTGCACCGGAAACACATTGATTTCAAAGCTTTGTACATTCCCCAAACTTAGAATGCTTAACATATTTCATCAGCAGGGCTGATTATTAGGGGTGAGGAGGGAGGCATCTCATCTGCCTTAAATTCACAAGTTGTCAAGAAGATCCATGCTTTTTTGCATAGTAATTTATTCCTAAATAATGATCTTTTAGAGAAATTGACTACTTTTCTTTTCCCTTCTGACATTTTTGTCAGTCTCAGATTTAAATAAATACAATATAGTCCATTGTGCTTATTGTGAAAATCAAGTGAATCTTTTTACACAGCAGTGAGTGACTTTCTATTACTTGGTTGGTGGCATAATATTTTACATTCTTCAATTTGGAAAGCTGTCCTATTGAAATACGTACAGGAGGTTCCTGAAAAGGAGCTGTCATTCTTTCCCAAGGTTTTCTAAATTGTATTTAAAACTGAACAGACCCCTCCTGTGGCTTTTATACCCCTTTGGCTTTTAAGCCTATATTGATGAGCCTTTCCCTGTCAAGACTGAGGGAAGTTAAATGAAGAGTGATTCCAAGAGAAAAGAGGCCCTGGAAACTAGTCACTCTTCAAGCACCATTTGCTATTTGGAGTTTACATTAATTTAGGAAAGATGAAAATGTTTCAGGCATTTGCAAACATCATTTTAGGAACAAACATCATTTTATCGGTATCTGAAGAAGAATTTAATTGCTTGGAGAGATTCATTGGACACTGATTGAACATTGAGTTTCATGGAAAAAAATGGATTGAACACACTGTAAGACAGGCATAATGCTAAATGCTATAGATTTACAGAGAATAGTTAAGACTCAGTCATGGCCTTTGAAATGGGAGAGCAAACGGGTGACACGTAATAAGAAGGTTGGTTATAGTGTAGGTCTCAAGTGGTGAGTAAAGAATAATAAGGGAGCTTAGTCTGGAGTGTGGGGGCATCAGAAAAGGCTTCATAAAAAAGTGGAAATTATGATGAACTTTGAAATTTGAAAAACAGAAGGTTCCAGACTTTCTTGAGTAGGAACATGAAGACATTAGTATATTCCAGTGTAGAAATGTAAGGAGGTCACAGATTGGACTTAGGTTACATTTTAGAAAATAAGGTTGGAAACAGAGTCTCAAGATATGTTGACTACCAGGATGAGAAATATTGACTAGTTAGTAGTCAATAGTTAAACATTGAATAGTTAATTCGTTTAGAGCCTCTACATGTTTGAGTGTGGGAATTATATGATTGGGGCTATGTGTTGGGAAGATTAATCTGTCAGCAGGATATAGATTAGACTGTTGCAGTCAGGAGAGACAAAAGCTAAAGAAAATAGTGCAAATGTTATTGCCAGTCTGAAAATTTGTCAATAAAGTGAAAAAAAAAAACCAACAGATCTAGGGAAGAGCTAAAAGGGATAGAAACTTTGTGATTTGACATATTCTTGACAGGCAGTGAGGGAGAAAGTGAATGAGATGTACAGAGAGGATTATCTGAAGACCAAAAGTAAGAATATAGTTTGGAAGCAGAGGGAGGGAAAGATAGGTGGAGACAATTTAAGGAGGAAAATGAAGTATTCTATTTTGGACATGGTGAGTTTGAAATCCTAGTAAGATGTTTAAACAGAGACATTCAGGCTAAATTAAAATCTGTGGGGAGTTGTAATGCCCCTGGAATTGGAGGTGGTGGTGAGTCTTTACAACTTGAATCCCAGGGCTTCTTAGCCCTGCTCCCTTTAAGATTAATAACAGAGAAAAGCAATTTATTTCTCACCTGGATGCCCATATATCTAACTCTCTCATGGCACTTGTTTTTTAATTTTATCATAATTATTTGTAGACATATCTAATCTCCTCTTCCAGGCAATAAACACCTTGAAAGCAGGGGTTTTAATTACCATATTTATTTTGTTTGTCCAAGAACAGTTCTAAACATCTAATAAGGACATAGTTAGCCAAATGACATGTAAGTGAATGATACAATTGCCTTCTTTTTTTTTCATTTTTCATTTCTTCCAGTGACAATCACTCACCAGTTTACTTCCTTGTTTATATGAAAAGATTATGGACATGTATGACTCATAGTGTATACCACGGGTGCAAATCGATTAGTTTGATCCTCCAATGAAAGTGGGCATATCAAAGGGAAGCCAATTCCCAAAGTCTAGCTAAGAGAGAACATGACAGCTATAGATGGACCACCTAGTACCAGGTAACAGGAATTTACAACAAATGTGGAAAAAGAAACTGCCTTGACTATAACCGTTGGGAGGAAGAACATACAAAAAGAATTAGCTCTACTTTTCCTTTTGGGTATAAAATACTTTATGTCCTATCCTCTTATCGATAGAAATATTCAAGGAGAAACCTATTCTCAAACAACTTCTTAAAAATACAAAATGGGTTTTTTAAAAGAAAAAATGTTCTTAAAAAGGGAAGTTTAAGAAAGTTAATTCATGTATTATTTTAGATAGCATAGGAGTTGCTTTAGAGCAGATCATTTTACTTATTACTTCTATTTAGCTTAATCGCTATCAGCAAATCTTACCTAAAATGAGTACTCTATTGTAGGCAGATGAACCAGAATGCAAACAGATCCAACGGGAAGGTATTCAGTCCCCACAACATTTGTTTTACATTCTTTTTTTGCACTACTTATTTTTTTTAAGTTTCTACCTAAAAGTAGAAGTGATCAGTCTAGAATTTCTGCTTTCAAGAGATTCATAACAGTTGTCACCAGTAAATTCTCTCGCAACTTTATCTTGCTAATTGTTATTATTCAGTTGAGGGAAAAAATGATACCCCTTTGGGGGTTTCAGAAAACTTGTATTTTACTGGATCATTGCCTGTTCTTCCTTTTTCATCGATGAAGTTCCATTTCAAGCTTCAGGTAAACATTTTAACTTGGGAATAATTCTAATTCAAGTAACTTCTACCCCTTTTTTTAGTCATCACTTTCCAACTTCCTCTTTATCTTTGAGAACAATTTGAGATGCACATTTCTAAACAGTGAA